TATTCATAAAAAAGAAAATTTTTTCAAGCTTTCTATAAGAAAAAAAAAAGAGCCTCCGTCACTACTTTTGGATAACCCTAAGTAATTTCTGATCTGAAAGATTCTTTGAAATAGAATATCTCAGCCTCAGATCTGGAGTTGTTCTAGATCATCTACGGTATATAATTAAAGCTGATGATAAGAAGGAAATATTTACCATTGGTTTATGTTTGTCAAATTCAAATTATTTACAATGAAATCTGTTTCTATAACGCTTTCCTTTCTAATTTTTGTTCTTTCTACCTGCCAATTAAGCTGTTTACCTTTGAATATAAAATGAAAACTTCCTTTATTTTCATTCTTATAATAATCAATATTTGGCATATAATTATGATTATTTCGTAGTCAACAAAAAAAAAATTTTTCTTTAAGAATATTTGTCTCTACATATTATATTTTATTAGTTAATTTCTACACAAATAAAATGACTAAATTATCTGACATCACAAAAAAAAGAGAAACAAAAAATTTCATTCATAAAGGTGCTAAACGTGTTGTAGTCAACATTTTTTGTTCGTCTGTGATGCCTGGTACAAAAATGCATGTTGTCCATGTATTTGTAAGAAAAAAATGATGATCTAATAAAAATTTATATCCATCTTTTTGATAACTTGAACAAACAACATATAAAGATTGATATTGTGTTTCTTCAGATATAATTCGACGACATGTTTGTAAAAGATTATGTGCAATTTTTTCATGTCGATAATTTTTTTTTACAAATAAATGTGTTATCAATGCTGATTGTCGTTCAGATGGATGAGAAGAAAAACAAATAAATCCAATAATTTCTTGTTCATGCATAACATTATCATCTTCAGCTGTTATAACAGCAACAAGTATACGTCGACGTGATAGTTTATCTGTATATTCAATATATGAATGTTGAAATGGTGCTTTAATTTTATATTTTAATTTTGTAATACGATAAGTAATAAATGAAGTTATTAATGCTGGTGGTATTAAAAATGAAATAATAAGACGAGAAAAAATAAACATTGATATAATAATACAAAGAAGAAGAAGAAGAAATGTAAATCGATTACGAAAACAAGCACGTGATAATGGTATAAGAATTTCAACACGTTCTTCAGTACATAAACGTTGAATATCGAAACGATCAGAAAGTGAAAAATTACGAATATGATATGTTGTACGACTAGATTTTGTTTTTAATACTGAACTTTTTATTGCTGTACAAGATTCCATATTTTCTTACAAAAATTAATTAAAAATTTTCTACAATCAAATACATTATAATTAATTCATTTGAAATTTGTTAACAATCAATAAAAATAGAACATTAAAAAATTTATTATTAATTTGTTCGAACTCATATTTTATCGATTGTTAAGATTCAGTATGCAAATCAAAATCCTAAATAGGTTTGTGCGCAATTAACACTTTCTTCTTGAGTTATGATCATCCGATGGATCTCATAATCTTTATAATAATATTACAACATATTTATCTTCGGAGACTATACCTTTTACGTTATTTATTTGACCTTGTAAATAAAACTATTAGTTATGAAGAGGTTATTCTATACGATGTCGTAATACAATCGATATTGTATTGAAGGGTTTGTTTTTTTTGTTGTTGATCGATATATGTACATATGTATAAATTTCATAATAAAAAAGATGAACTACACATCAATATATTGAATTTCTCTTAAGATATTAAGAAAATAAAATCGTCTGTCGAATGTAAAATCAAATTTTAATTAACAAATTGATCGAATCTCTTTATCATAAGTTAGAATATATGCAAATAGAGAATGCTCTCTAGTTGAATGTGAATACTCCTAGTTGACACTTCATATAACATAATATTGAATGACATTTTCGTTTTGAAAAATAGTAATACAAATAGAAGAATAATTAAATATTCTATAGTTTTAAGCGAATTATCTCATAAATCATATCAATCACAAAAAAAAAATGAATATTGAAGAACTTTTAAAATCCGATACGAATAAACTCTAGAATAGTTTTCTCTAAACCAGGACAAAAAAAACTTGGTCTCGCACATCTCTGATTCAACAAAAAACACAACACCGTGCAGAAAAAAACTACATTCATAAAATTTCTATAAGACTTGGTGAAGTAATACTTAAATATTAGAGAACAAATACATGATAGTTAGCTGACATTTTGTGTGTAATGAACTTATTATTAAGGTTTTTCTTTTTCGTAATCAAATCTTGCTATTGATATTTCTATTCTTACAAGAGAAAAATATCACCTAATACTATATTATTTGAAACATTGACATGAGTAGTCAAACTTCATATAAATACATTCTGTTAGAGATCATGTCTTGTGTGCATATAAATTAATTTTTTTTAAGGTTCAAAATTTAAAAAAAAATTTATCTAAAATAAAAAGATCGAATAAAAATGTTTAAACATCAAACAAAGAATCATATTCTTTATTTTATTTTATAAGATCATTGAAGTTAAACAAAAAAAAAAACAAATATCAAATTTTCTTATAATACACACCGAATAATTTTTTCGTTTATTTTGTTGTTTCTTATTTAATTAGTAACTTTAGGTACATGATCGTTAAGTGAATAAACAGCTGAATTTAAAACATCAACAATACGATTTAAAAATGAATAAAGTTTTTCACTTGTTTTTTCACGTTGTTGTTTTTGTTCTTCAAGTATAACACGAAGTGTTTCACGTGCTTGATGTGGTCGTAATTCATTTATTAAATGATGAATATTTATAAAAAGTAATTCAATTTCATGTATTTTTTGTTCACGTAATGTTATATGTCCACTCTCAGGACTTGGTGTTACTGTTGAACGTGAAACAATTTGTAATAAATCAAGATAATTTGTTAATATAGCAAAACATAATTTTTTTAATTCACCTTTATAATCATCAGGACGTGTATAAACACGTTGAATTTGTTGAGCTGCTAATGAACGTATAATTGGTTCAGAATGATCAATACCATTAACATAAAGACCAAATAATTCATAAGGACCCTATAAAACAAAGAACAAAATTTATATTCAATTAATAATAAAATAAAATATTGACTTCAATAGGTGGTGGTGGTTGTAAAATTTTATTATTTTGACGAATATTATCATCACTAAACAGTTCAATATAATTCATTGGTGGTAATGGAAATGCACTACTTAAAATAGGTGGTGGATCCATAAATAATAATCTAGCTGAAATAATATAATCAAAATGACGATGATGATTGTGTCTTCGTCTTCGTCATCATTGTTCTTAAAACCAAATTTTGATTGGAAGTTCAAATGACTGTCGCTACTTGCAACTTACGAATAAAAGCGACACATAGGATGTTACCATAAATGAAGAGTTATTTATAATCAATGGTGGATCAAAGATTTGGAGAAAGCGCTCATGGTTACAAAAATAGCTTTTGAAACTCATTAGAGATCGTATCAGCTCGTTTTCTGCTGAGAAAAATCAAAAATATTTCGGAAGAACGGGGCGATCGTTTGTCCTCTAAAACTGCCACTGTTTTTAGTGACGTAATAGCACAATCCGATGCGAGCTCAACCTCCCAAGAAACTGTTGAATTCTGCTGATAAAAAACTTGAACTCGGCCTACAGATATGTTCACGATTGTAACTTTATAAAATAGAATTGTTACCAGTCTGTCTGAATTTTTCTTCGCTTTTGTTCAAGTCTACCCAGGTCGAACAATCAGATAGTATGATCAGACATGAAATTTTATATGAGCATATCCGATCGTGTTCAAGATTCGTACATGTGCATATAGTATCATACGAAAAATCGTCCTCTAAGAAATCTGATGTCAAGTCTGGCATCAAGTTTTCGTATACGATTTTACAATACGATCAGTCATGATTCTATAATATCATATTCTAAGATTATCATTGAATTATGCTCGGATATATATTTTTTGATGTTCTCGAAAAGCACTAGACTAAATACAGTTTACACTGTAAAAAAAGAAAAAAGGTATTTTACGAAACCAAAAAAGGATCTGTCCGCACGTACACGCTCCGGCCCTTTTTTGGTTTTGGAAAAGTGTAGTTTCGTACTGAACCCTTTCTCAATAATTAAAGAAAAAGGTTTCGTACCATACCTTTTTACATAATTATGATAAAGGTTCCGTACAGAAGGTTTTGTACTGAACCTAAATCAGAAACTAAAAACAAAGTTCTGCACAAATACTTTTGTGCCGAACCTTGACTATAGATTTAATCCTTTAACTGTTGACGACGTATGGATACGTGTGATTGCAGGTATTGAACGAATGTTTCACCAGCATATAATATATATGCTAATGGAACATTTGCTCAATTCCTGCGATCACAAGTATTTATACGTCGTCGACAATTAAAGGATTAAACCAAACATCTCGTCTATATCGACTGCCATAGCCAACCTATAATGAAAAACAATTAAACATCCACATTTTCGATATTTTTTAAAAACAGCTGGTTTTTCGAATAGGGAGTGACAGAAATCTGGAAAATTTCTTGAGAAAAAGAGGGTATCGAGTAAAAATTTTTTATGGTTTCTGAAAGACCAGATGGTGGGCTATCTTTCCATGTATTTATCTCAATTTCGAAATTTCTAACGAAAATTGACTTTTTTTGAGGAGGGGGAGGCCTTAAGTAAAATGTAATTTATAGCATTAATCACACGTAAAATAACAATCTCTAATAAACATATATTTGATAATATGAACTAAGAAAATAAATTTTAGATTTCTAACTAACATTTTAAATGCAAAATAATCTTCATTTAATTTATTTCAATATGAACAAATTATGACCTTTATCATACATTAGACAAAAAAAAAAGATGTCTTATATTTTTCATTCAATCCTCACTTCAAGTCTCAATTATCGAATAAAAGAAAATCGACATTAATTGTTGTTCATATCATATATTGATAACTTCGAAGCAAAAAAAGAATATCATGATAAATGCTTTTTTGTCTCTTTTGTTAATGTACTAAACATTTAGATTTAGAATACTATCGTTTATTAATCTAACAGAAATTTATTCAATACTTAATTTTTAAAATATAATTAAAATGAAGAACAAAAAAAAATTGTTTCTTCTAATAAACTTTCATTATCACAAAAGAAAGAAACTTTTCTTTTTCATTCTTTATTTATTTTATTCTTGCTTACTTTCTTTTCTTTGTTTCAACAAAATATCCACAAAACAAACAACAATTCTGTTTGCCCTGTTGTCTTTTGTTTTTTTCCTCTTAATGTAGTCAATTAGATGTTTACAAAAAAAAACATGGAGAAATAAACATTTCACGAGTATAATAATGTCGACTCGTGTTTTTTTTGTTTGTCTGACTTTACAATATACACAACATAGGTGCATTCAGACAGACAGCAAAATCAAGAAAAAATTCATACATGTATACACAAACACATATATATGGGCGTGACCAACGGTATGAGGCCCCGATTCTTATTTGTATATATAGCTTCAATTAGTCATCACAAAAGTGTGATTTTTTTACCAATTATAACACGTGTATGATGCTAATGATCTATTATAATTTGAAGTCTAATATCCCTCTAAAATCAAAAGTCACGAAGTGTGTCTTTATAACTATTTTGTTAAGGTATTACCCATTCATTTTGTGAATATAGATCAATTCTTACACAGAAAATTAAAAGAAAATAAAGTTTCAGCTACAAAGTTTTATTTTCAAATAGTTAATGAAGAAACACAACTAACTTATTATGAGCTATATTTACGGATAGGATGTTTAGTCATATTCAAATTACATAATGCAGCAACAACCTGTATTATTTTGGTCATTTTATCGAGATCATCAACAGCTCCTCTGTATACACTACCCAAAATTGCATAAGTTTTCAGACGTTGATTAATATTTTCAATAGCCGCTCGCGCACTATTGATATCACGATTAAAATTCTTTTCGTCATCTGTTAATTCATGCCCACATTGTTTCTTTTTTGGTGTAATTACGTATTGTTCACCTATATATCCTTTATCAGCAATGATTTGAACTGATTCTTCTGCGTATTCCAATAGTCCTGATTGTCTTAGAACTGTAATGTCATGTACACTACCATGATAACACTCTGATACATGTACTATGTGATGATTAAAGTCACAAGCTATTTGCACTTTTATGGCATAGTTTGTTGAATTTTTTGCATGATAATATGCTTTACGTTGATTTGAATAGTGTGGTTCGGGGATAGCGATAAAAGTTGAATCAACTATTAACTTATGGTGTTCTTCAGGTCCATGTTTACTAACACTACTAGCTATATCAGTAGGTAATGATACTAATTGTTGGTATATACACGAATGCAGTATATTCATAACCTCTGTTAAGAAATAATTGACTGTTGATTGCGTCAAATTTAGTTCTGTAGAAATGTAATGTTCTGAATGATAATGCTTTAAATACCATAACGTCACTACCAACAAATTCATAGGAGACAAAAGTGATGTGTTGTTGTTTGATTGTTCCTTGGTTCTATTAAAGCAATAATTTATAAGTGATTGTTCACACATCGAGTACAGCTGTTCTACTTGTTCAATATCATGTTCTGTATGTTGTATACAAGATTCATTAGTACGTCTCCATTCAGACCACGGTCGTTGTTCTACAAAATACGCAAAGGAACACATTATCAATTATCTGTTCTATAATTTTATGAGATAGAATAATGCATCGGGTACGTAAGTCTAACCCAAGAAGTTGAATTTCACTTACCGTTATCTAAAGCTTGAAGTTGTTGAATAGCAACATGCTTCTCTTCAACTTTCTGTGTTTTGTCTTCAAGTTCTGATGTACAATAGACACAGCTGTCACGGTGCCGAAAGAAGTTTTTGTACAATCCAGATCTTCCTGAACCAATACATGTATAGGTTAACATCGAGTGACAGTTACTGCAGTATTTTCGATGATCAGTCGTAGTAGATTGACATCGAGAACAACCCCATTCAACTTGTGGAGAATACATAATA